TTCTTTGTCAAGATCCCATGGATATGCCAAAAAAGGTATCCAAATTTCGAATCATTTCTAAATGAGACTTGGGAATTTTCATGTGGTAAGACCGACGAGCCAAAAGGCCATCTACTAGTAACAAGCAGGCATATTTGACCCTCTGGTCCGATGTCAGAGACTTAGGCCTCTGCACTTTGCTTAATAAAATCTCTCCGGTGATAGACTCCTCGCCGCCAAAAAGAGTAAACCAATATGGCATCACGTCGGTTGTAGGGCCTTGAGGACAGCTTTAATCGTGTGGAGCTTGAAGTACTGGTTAACACAGTCCCCGCCGGTCTCGATCGGCGAATAACCGAGCAGGAAGGACTAGATCGGCCATGTTCCTTCACAAAAAGAGAAGTTCATCGTTAGTTAATGGACCCACAAGAGAAACTATAAACATGCAAGCACAAAAATAAAGAACTATGAAAATTTATGAAGGACCAAAGCAAAACATGAAAATAGTTGAATAAGTACAAAATCTGGAAAGAAGAAACGACAAATTTAGATAGTTAGGATTTTTTTTTACAACGACGGAGAAACATAAGCTTTAAAACCAACGATGGGGACATAGAAAAAAACAAAGAAAAATACAAGGAAAAATTAGAAAATATATTGTCAGTTAATAGACCAACAATAGATTTAATAGACATGCAAACAAAAAAGGTAAAGATCTATGTAGATGTATAAATAACCAAACCAGATCTAAGAAAATCAGTGAATAAGTAAAAGGATCTGGAAAAAGAAACAACAAATATAGATATTCAGGGTTTTTTGCAAACGACGGAGAAACAGTGGCTTCAAAACCACCGACGGCAAAAGAGCAAAAAAATGTTCAAATCCGACCAAATCGGCCAAAAACTCGTAGAAGCGCAGGGAAACTCCGGTAAAAATCAAACCGAACAAAACGAAGAAATACAAAGAGAAATCTCTATACCCTAGCAGAATGAATAAAAACCTTGCAGAAAATGAGTAATAGAACCAACTGCGAGAAGAAACGAAATCGGAGAAAACAAACAGGGACTGAAGAAAGAGGATAGACACGCAAGAGTCAGAATAAAGAGACACGTATTAAATCCTCAAAAATGGTCTTTACCAAGATATTGGTCATGCATAATTGGGCCAATATTTGGTTGAAGAGAGAGGGGCGCGTAAGGTTATAGTCGGAAGAAAGAGTGACTAAGTATTATCGTTGTTTTGGATATTATGGGCTGACACCGAAAATTTTATTAAGTCAAAAAGTAACGTCTCCTACCCAATTATCTAAAAAAAATCTAATGAAACTATTTTTCAGTGTGTCGGTACCACTAATAATTATTGTCACATGCAAATGGATTGGTCAAAATCGTCAACTTTGACTTCGCAGCCCTCAAGTAATCTTATCCCCACTATTAATAGCTCTTACTAATTGCTTCTCTCAATAAACACAACACAACACAACACCACCATGAACTCTTCTTTTACTCTCACTATTTTTACCTTCGTTATCTTCCTCCGATGTCTAAATCCCACCGGAGCTGCCACGTGTCATCCTGATGATGAAGCGGGTCTTCTAGCTTTTAAAGCGGGTATAACCCGAGACCCTTCGGGTATTCTCAGTTCTTGGAAGAAAGGTACTGCTTGTTGTTCTTGGAACGGTGTCACTTGTCTCACCACTGACCGCGTCTCCGCACTCTCTGTCGCTGGACAAGCCGATGTTGCCGGAAGCTTCCTCTCCGGCACTCTCTCGCCGTCGCTAGCTAAACTCCAACACCTCGATGGGATTTACTTCACTGATCTCAAGAACATCACTGGTTCTTTTCCTCAATTCCTTTTCCAATTACCAAATCTTAAATACGTTTACATTGAGAATAACCGCCTCTCCGGTCCTCTTCCGGTTAACATCGGTTCTCTAAGCCAGCTTGAAGCGTTCAGTCTCCAGGGAAACCGGTTTACCGGTCCAATCCCAAGCTCGATATCTAATTTGACTCGGTTAACACAACTCAAACTCGGTAGTAATCTCCTAACCGGCACTATTCCCTTAGGAATTGCTAATCTCAAGCTCATGTCGTATCTCAACCTTGGAGGTAACCGTCTCTCTGGCACTATCCCGGACATTTTCAAATCCATGCCGGAACTTCGATCATTAACTCTCTCCCACAACGGATTCTCCGGGAATCTTCCTCCGTCCATTGCATCACTCGCACCGATTCTCAGGTTCCTCGAGTTAGGCCATAACAATCTCTCCGGGACAATACCGAACTTCTTATCAAACTTCAAGGCGCTTGACACATTGGATCTCTCTAAGAATCGGTTCTCAGGAGTCTTGCCAAAGAGTTTCGCAAATCTGACCAAAATCTTCAATCTCAATCTCGCTCACAATCTTCTAACCGATCCATTCCCTGTCTTGAACGTTAAAGGGATAGAATCTTTGGATCTCTCGTACAACCAATTTCACTTGAACACAATTCCTAAATGGGTGACTTCGTCGCCGATCATCTACTCGTTGAAGCTAGCAAAATGCGGGATCAAGATGAGTTTAGACGATTGGAAGCCAGCACAAACATACTACTACGATTTCATCGATTTGTCGGAAAACGAGATCTCAGGGAGTCCAGCAAGGTTCTTGAACCAAACAGAGTTTCTAGTGGAGTTCAAGGCGTCGGGGAACAAACTCCGATTCGATATGGGGAAGCTAACGTTCGCAAAGACGCTGAAGACCTTAGATCTATCTAGAAACTTGGTATTCGGGAAGGTGCCAGCGACAGTGGCCGGGCTAAAGACATTGAACGTGAGTCAAAACCATCTTTGTGGAAAGCTTCCGGTGACAAAGTTCCCGGGCAGCGCCTTTGCTGGTAACGACTGTCTTTGCGGCTCTCCACTTCCTCCTTGTAAAGCTTAAGCGGCAAGAAAACTACAATTATAAGTTAGCTCCAAATAAAATTTGTATTAAATAACAAATAAAGTAGTTTTATGATATGAAGAGGCATATGTATTAGACTATTAGTGAAGGTACTCAAAGTAGTATTTAAGTTTTCAACACTTTTGCATTGTTTTATTTAGCGACTTCTGTACTTTTCAACTTTTGCATTGTTTTATTTAGCGACTTCTGTTGGCACAAAAATGAGGAACTGAAATGAATTGTAGAATCATTAAAAAAAAAATTGCTATTAATTAAATAATGGGCTCTAAAATACCATGGTTTTTGTTTTTAAGCATGTAACTTCATCACTACAAAATTTATTTGATCACATATACAAGCACACATAAAGCTTACAAAACAATACAAACCAAGTGATCGATTTACATCATGAAACCTCCCTCTTTCTCTTTACACACACATAAGGTCATTCCCAGGACATATATCATCTGCATTGCGGCCTGAGACCATCTCTGAAGTAGCTTTTCTCTTGGTATATTTTGTCTACGACACTAGCATTCGACTAATCTATCGATCCACATTCAATTAACGAAACAAGGACATACTAAACTAACCTAGAAAAATTATTCAAAAACTATAAAACAAAGAGATTCGAAGAGAGGCAGCATCTTAAACTTCACCACCATATATAAAACGAAAACAGAAACTAATATATTGGTTCTTCTAAAACAATATAAATAGATAAAGCTAATAATGTAAGATTACGCTAAGAGAATAAAGGCATATATCTATCAACCCATCTTGAGGCCAACTTCGTTCACAATCTGGATCATTGTACTTAGATATCTTTGACTTTTAATTTGTGGTCAATAACGTACAAATTGTTAGACAAAAATAACATGTTAATAGATGTATAAAAAAAAGTTTTACAAAAATACCGGACATTTTGTTAAACAAAAATGAAACTAAGTTTCATAATGCACTAAAATATTATTTAAACATGATAGAAAACAAACAAAAATACATGATAGAAAAAATAAGTATTTGACTTATGACCTTCCAATACTATTTAAAAACAAAATTCTAAAACAAAAAAAAGATACATTACACCTTTTTATATAATAATCTCCAAATTAAATGAACCTTGTCTGGGATCATGAAGATGAACCTTGTCTCTAGGATCATGAAGATATATCTTGATGAGTGCAATATGATCGTGAAATGAACCTTATGTATGTCTAAGAGCAAGATAACGCGGCATGAGATACCTAAAGCATATACCACTTAGAGCAGGATTATAGGAGGTATCTTAGACATATCTTAGGGGAAAAAATTATTAAATTTAATGAATAGTTCAATCAAATGCTAAGATGTATATCTTATTTAAGATGTTGTTGATGAGTTTTAGATATGAGCACGTGTCTTGCTCTGATTAATTTGAAGAAACAACAAAGCCAAAAAAAAAAACCTTTCGTTTTTTTATTTCCCTCTCGACCTTTCTCTCTCTCTCTTTTCCTCGAAACCAAAACGGCGAAATCCTGCTCTGAGGCTGTTGATCCGACGAATTGAGAGGAGAAATGAGATGGAATTGCGTGTTTCATATAAATTATATTTCATGTATGTTTTAATTTTTTTTAATTTGCAACAATTATTAAATTTTCTATAATTATAAATTTTATTTTTGTATTAATTTTTTTTTTCTAAGAACCACATGTTAAGAACCTACCATTAATCACACAAAAATCTTAACCCAAAAATACTACTCCCTCCGTATTTGAATAAATGTCGTTCTAGCCTTTTTTCTGTGTTTTTAATTAGTTGTCATTTTAACAACTTTTGCATAAAATTTCCTAAATTACCCCCAATTAATTGATCATAATTAATCAGTCTAAATTACCAAAATTACAGATACCAAAAATATAATTGTAAATAATCGTTTCTCATAAGGTTAGTTTTGTAATTCTGTGCCTTTTCTTAATTCACCTAAAAACAGTTGAAACGACATTTTTTCAAATACAGAGGGAGTATATCTTAACTATCACTTTTACAAATATATTACTTAAATATTCTTAAGATTTATTTCTAAGATACTACCAATAATCATGCTCTTATTGCCCACATGCAAATGGATCGGTCAAAATCGTTGACTTTGACTTTACAGCTCTCTCAACTCTCAAGTCGTCTCTCTCCCTTTACTAATAGCTGCCAATAGCTTCTCTCAATCTCACCGCACAATAACACCATGACTTCTTGCTCCTTCACTCTCTTCATCTTTGCGGTCATTATCTTTCTTCAGTCTTTAAGTTCAACGGGAGCTACCACGTGTCATCCTGATGATGAGGCGGGTCTTTTAGCTTTCAAATCGGGTATAACTCAAGATCCTTCGGGAATGCTCAGCTCTTGGACGAAAAATACTTCTTGCTGCTCGTGGAAAGGTATCACTTGCCTCAACAGCGACCGTGTCACCAACCTCGACCTAGTGGGATTTTTAAAAAAACCCGAACGCTCCCTTTCCGGTACTCTCTCACCGTCGCTGGCCAAACTTCAGCACCTCAACGTGGTTAGCTTAGGAGATCATGGGAACATCACTGGATCTTTTCCAAAGTTCCTTCTCAAATTACCAAAGCTAAGGTACGTTGACATCCAGAATAACCGTCTCTCCGGTCCACTTCCGACCAACATCGGCGTGCTAAACACGTTAGAACAATTCTTTCTTCAGGGAAATAAGTTCACCGGTCCGATCCCGAATTCGATATCAAATCTAACTCGGTTATCTTATCTCATTTTCGGAGGTAATCTCTTAACCGGAACTATACCCTTAGGACTTGCTAATCTCAAGCTCATGCAGCATCTGGCACTCGGCGACAACCGCCTCTCAGGCACCGTCCCAGAAATTTTCGAATCAATGACGTTGCTCAAATTTCTAGATCTCTCCCGCAATGGATTCTCTGGAAAACTTCCTCTGTCCATTGCGTCACTCGCACCGACACTCCTAGCCCTCAAGCTGAGCCAGAACAATCTCTCGGGGGCGATCCCGGACTATATATCAAGATTCAACAGGCTCGAAAAGTTGGATCTCTCCAAGAACCGGTTCTCCGGGGTTGTACCGAAGGGTTTCGTCAATCTGACCAATATTAACAATCTTGATCTCTCCCACAATCTTCTAACTAATCAATTCCCTGAATTGAACGTTAACACCATCGAATATCTTGATCTCTCGTACAACCAATTTCAGCTGGAAACGATTCCACAATGGGTGACATCGTTGCCGAGTCTCTTCTTGTTGAAGCTAGCAAAATGCGGGATCAAGATGAGCTTAGATGATTGGAAGCCAGCGGAACCCTTGTACTACCATTACATCGATCTATCGAAAAACGAGATCTCAGGGAGTCTAGAAAGGTTCTTGAACCAGACATGGTATCTGCTGGAGTTTCGGGCGGCGGGGAACAAACTCCAATTCGATATGGGGAACTTGAAGTTTGCAAGGACGCTAAAAACCCTGGATCTTTCAAGGAACTTGGTATTCGGGATGGTGCCGGCGATGGTAGCTGGTCTGCAGAGACTAAACTTGAGTCAAAACCATCTTTGCGGAAAGCTTCCAGCTACAAAGTTCCCGGCCAGTGCGTTTGCCGATAACCACTGTCTTTGCGGCTCTCCACTTTCTCCTTGTAAACTTTAGCGCCAAGAAAACTATAATTGGTATTTGAATTTATCGCGACAGTTAACTCCAAATAAGATTATAAAGTAATTTTAAGAGACTAAGCTCCATTGCAACGAAATATTATGAAATATAAGTTTTTAACACTTCAATATTATTTTATTTTATTTAGCAACTTTATAAATAAACTCGAATTGTTGGTTAAAAATGACAAATTGAATTAAACTAGTAGAATCATTAAGAAATCGTAGAAGAGCAGGTTTTTTTTGTCACTAATGTAATGTAACCGGTAGAATAATTGAAATGAATTTTTATTTAGCGTGTGTTGGCTTGAGGATATGTACTGCAAAACAGATTCAATCTTTATAGATTATTCGAATGATTTGATTGTTCTTCAAGACTTTGAGAATCACTATTTTTTCTCTTACTACACTTTCACCGGATTCACATCCTCACCAATCTCCAATCAAAGCTTGGTCAATGCTTGCTAAGAGAAATTTTTAGAGAAAATAAATCATAGGAAACAAATCGACAATAGCATTATAGAGATTTCTGTGATTCTCACTTATGAAAATTAATAATGTCTTAAATTTCCCAACTTCCATAATACCAATAAGAAAACCTTTTCAAGACTCTTGTAACAACCTCAGCACAAATCTTTTTACTTGTGTTCTACGCAACAACCATTGACTTTTAGAGATGTCTTAAATCGTTCAACTTCAACAAGAATGAAAATCATCGCGTTCTTTCGGTATAATATACACAAATATTACAGAAATAGAAAGAGTGTTCAAGCCAGTCGTAGGAATAATAAATTCGACCACAATTATAATTCCACTAATTACGGATGCTCCACATGCAAATGGATCAGTCACAATCATCAACTTTCTTTTATTAAACTAATAAATTAAAAAGTGTTACTAGAAACTTTGACTTTGAAGCTCTCAAGTCGTCTCTCTCCCTCTGTTAATAGCTACCAAATACTTCTCTTACTCCCACCACCCACCACACAACACCACCATGAACTCTTGCTCATTCACTTTATTCATCTTAGGTGCTATTATCTTTCTCCGGTGTTTATGTTTCACCGGAGCTGCCACGTGCCATCCTGATGACGAGGCGGGTCTTTTAGGTTTCAAATCGAGTATAACCAAAGATCCTTCAGACATTCTCAGCTCCTGGAAGAAAGGTACTAACTGCTGCTTCTGGAGAGGTATCATTTGCTTCCCCCGAGACCGTGTCACACAACTAAATGTAAACGGAGATGTATATCTTGGCCTAACCTTTCTCTCCGGCACTATCTCGCCGATGCTGGCCAAACTTCAACACCTCGAGGGAATTTACCTCACCTCTCTTCGAAAGATCGCTGGACCTTTTCCTCAATTCCTTTTCCGATTACCAAAGCTAAAGTACGTTAGCATCCAAGGTAACCTTCTCTCCGGTCCCCTTCCAGCCAATATTGGCGAGCTAAGTCAATTGAAAACTTTAGTTATTGAAGGAAACCTGTTCACCGGTCAGATTCCAAGTTCGATATCCAATTTGACTCGGTTATCTTTGCTTAGTCTTGGCAACAACCGCCTCTCTGGCGCAATCCCAAATATATTTAAATCCATGAAAGAGCTCCATTATATTCTCTTGATCTCTCCCGCAACAGATTCTTCGGGAAACTTCCTCCGTCCATTGCATCGCTGGCACCGACTCTCACCTACCTCGATCTGAGCCAGAACAATCTCTCGGGAACGATCCCAGAATATTTATCAAGATTCAAGGCGCTCTCCACATTGGTTCTCTCCAAGAATCAGTACTCGGGGGTCGTGCCGATGAGTTTCGCCAATTAGACCAAACTTATTCATCTTGATCTCTCCCAAAATCTTCTAGCCGGTCCATTACCTGTCTTGAAGAGCATTGCCGTCATCGAATCTCTGGATTTGTCGTACAACAAGTTTCACCTGAAAACGATTCCAAAATAGATGACATCGTCACCATTCATCTACTCGTTGAAGCTGGCAAAATGTGGGATCAAGATAAGCTTAGACGATTGGAAGCTAGCAGGAACCTATCACTGTATATGAAGCAAATGCAGAATCTTGGAGTATAAGTAACAAGGAAGAAGAAAGTTACCAGAATATACTTATTCTGTTAACAGAGAAAACAGAGTATTAACAGGGTTAATGACTCATTGTACAGCTAACTCTTAGCTAATCTTATCTCTTACTATATAAACAATTGTACAGCAACAATAATCTTTAATGAGAAATTAGATTGTTTTACTTCTCTAATATGGTATCAGAGCAATAAATATCTCATTCAAAAGTTTGTTTTCCGGGAAACTTGAGATTTTCCGGGAAAATTCCTGATTTCTTCTTGAAGATTCCACTTCAGCTTGTTGTGTTCATCTTTCTGATCGCCGATCGTTGTATCAATGGCGAAGAAAGGAGCCAAGCAGCTCAGGAATCGTTCAACATCTCAGGATTCTGGTGAAGATTCACCGATTATTCATCCTTCCGCTTCAGCTCTCGACAGATCTTCTCCAGCTCGTACCTCCGTGAATCGTCTACCGGTGGATTCAGATTCGATTGATAGTCACCACAATCCATTCTATCTTCACTCCAGTGATCATCCTGGTTTGTCAATCGTATCTGAAGTTCTCACTGGAGATAACTATAACTCATGGATCATTGCTATGCGCACTAGTCTAGAAGCTAAGAATAAGATCAGCTTTGTTGATGGATCTATCCCTAGACCTCTTGAATCTGATCGTCTTTACAAAATCTGGACTCGTTGCAACAGTATGGTAAAAGCTTGGATTCTTAATGTCGTGTCAAAGCAAATCTATGCTAGTGTTTTATACATTCAGGATGCTGCTGGTATTTGGAATGATCTTTACAGGCGTTTTCACAAGAGCAACCTTCCTCAGATCTATAATTTGGAGCAGGAGATCAGTTCTCTACGTCAAGGTACTATGTCTCTCTCTGATTACTACACTAAGAAGGTTACTCTCTGGGAACAGTTGGCCTGCACTAAGAATCTGATGGAAAATGGTGGTTGTCGATGCTCACAAGTGATGAAGTTGTTAGATGATCATGAGACAACAAGGATTACTCAGTTTCTTATGGGTCTCAATGATGATTTTGCTAACATCAGGGGACAAATACTGAACATGAAACCACGTCCAAGTCTCTCTGATATGTATAACATGCTTGAGTCTGATGAGTCTCAGAGACAACGTTCCATTCCCAATCCTAATCCTTCAGCTTTCCAGGTTAAAACTCAACTAAATAACTTTCAGAAATCTCATGTTGTATGCACACATTGTGGATTGTCTGGTCACATTAGTGACAAGTGTTACAAGATCATCGGTTATCCACCGGGATGGAAACCAAAGAATCAACGTCAAAATCCTAACCAACGTTTTATCACTCCTGCTGCGAATCTTGCTCTTGTTGATCCTACATCTGAATGTGAAAACGAGAAAACTTTGTCTCAAGAACAGCTTCAGTACTTGGTTGCTTTCTTGAACTCTAAGCTGCAGCCGTCTAGTTCTTCTCACAGTGCTAGTCCTATCTCATCTGCAACCATCACTGAACTACCTAGTACTTCTGAGGCTTCTTCTTCTGCATTTTCTCCTATGGCATGTCAGATGACTGGTACACAATTTCCTTCTATATTTTGTTCTTCAGAAGAGAATCAATCTTATTTCTACTCTCTGTCTGATAAATTGGTCAACATGAATAAGTGGGTTATTGATACTGGTGCTACTCACCATGTTACTTATGACAAGAGCCTTTTTCAACAAATGACTGTTATACAAGACACTACTGTGCAGCTTGCTAATGGTGTAGGTGTGAAAATTCAGGGTTTGGGAACTATTAAACTCAATGACAGACTCATTCTTCATGATGTTCTGTTTATACCTCAATTTAAATTTCATTTATTGAGTGTGAGTTCCTTGACGTCTCAGATAAAGTGTGGTCTATGGTTTGACTCTTATGGTTGTGAAATTCAGGATCTTACAAGGGAATTGACAATTGGAAGAGGTAAACTTCACAATAAGCTATATTTCTTGGACCTGTAGTTTCAGCCTGAAGAGAAAGCTTCACCAACTATCTGTGTTTCAGTCAAGATTGATGCTCACACTTGGCATCAACGCTTGGGTCATCCGTCTCTACAACGTCTTAAATCTATGTCAAATTCATTGTCTGTTTCTTTTCCTAAGGAGTTAACTCCAGAACAGAACCATTGCAGAGTTTGTCATTTAGCAAAGCAGAAACATTTGCCTTTTGTAGCTCGGAATAATAAGACTTCTAATGCGTTTGATTTGATCCATATTGACACTTGGGGTCCCTTTGCAGTGCCTTCTTATGATGGATACAAATATTTTCTGACGATAGTTGATGATCATTCTCGTGCTACTTGGATATTTTTACTCAGAAATAAATCAGAAGCTATAACAGTCTTACCTGGTTTTGTTGCTATGATTGAAACTCAATTTGCTACCAAAGTTAGAGCCGTCAGGTCAGATAATGCTCCTGAGTTTAACTTCACCAAGTTTTACAGAGAAAAAGGAATTGTCTCCTATCATTCATGTCCAGAGACTCCTCAGCAAAACTCAGTGGTAGAAAGGAAACACCAACATCTTTTAAACGTGGCCAGATCCCTCATGTTTCAGTCACAGGTACCTATTGAGTATTGGAGTGAGTGCATTATGACTGCAGTTTTTCTTATCAACAGGTTACCTACAGAGAATTTGGAGAATAAGTCTCCTTATGAGATCTTAATGAAGGTAGCACCAGAATATGATGATCTTAAGGTTTTTGGATGTTTGGCTTATGCTTCCACTTCACCACATCAGAGAAATAAATTTCAGCCAAGGGCAAGGGCATGTGTATTTTTGGGTTATCCTACTGGTGTCAAAGGATATAAGCTACTTGATATTGAAACACATGATATCTTGATTTCAAGACATGTGGTTTTTCATGAGGACTTGTTTCCTTTAGCAAATGGAGATATGAATCAGCAAATTCAGGATTTGTTTCCTACAGTGTCTGATATAATTGGTGATTTAGCAGTAGGAGATTCTGCTATCCCAGTTCAGTCACAACAGGATTCAGTGCATCTTGGTAGTGGCAAGTCTGCAGTAGGAGATTCTGCG